TACTGTAAGTGATCTGATTGCCCTGGGATCTTGTTATCAGAGAGATTCTGTTTCTCCCTCATTGCAGGTGGAAACACCCTTGGGATCCTGTTGCAAAGATGTTTGTGGACAGTCCCATAATGTGCACGGGGCTGATCCAAAGCTTGAATAGCTCTGCTTTTGATTTCCGTGGCCTCAGGCATGAGTGTGGAGGAATTGGGGAAGATGGGAAACGCGGATTGCAACAAGCGTCACTTTTGTGTAGCCTGCAGAACCTGGGAGCACAAACGAGCACATCAATCGTCTGGATGCTACGTGTTTTATTTCATTTGAACTAAGTCCTCTTCACATTTAAAGAATCACAGCAATTTTAAATCATGGTCACAAATTCTATTACCTCATAACTTTCCTAGTTCGGTGCTAACTATTACATCAGTACATCAATCTCTGATTTTGTTATCATCTTCTGCTTTCCGTGAGCGCTAGCTTGCCTGCAGCTTTTTACACAGAGCTAATTTCCGTATAACACAGAGCCTGGGCTATTGCAGCGATGCATTACGTTTGCTGTCAGTACTTTTGCCAGAAATTACGTTACTTTCTATTTTGCAATAAGCATCCAAAATTAATTTTCAAAAATTCTCTATTTGGACCGAAATCCCTTGACATTACTGTCTGTTGCTTTACAGCAACAAGTCACACCACTGGTAAGACCTTTTATATTCTATTTCTTTCACTTTAGGCTCCTTGCAGAATTTCAGTTTAGATGTAACGCTATATTAACAAAGGAATATAAATCAGCAACTCTTTAATAAGTGTTCATTAAAGTTTATCCACCATAGGAGGCTTCATGGCTTCATCTCCTTGGGTGTAGCTAAGCAGTAGAAGAGGAAGAAGCTATCAGGTCTACCCCCTACTGAGAGATCCTGAGTCCCATACAAAACACTAACAGGATGTTTGATGAGCCTTCTGCTTTAATAAAGTATACTACAGCGTACTTTAATACTTTACTGGCACAGCTCCACGATGCCAGTGTCACTGTGTGTATTCATAGCTGGCATGAAAAGAAAAGAGGTTTGCTTTTGTCATTGAGGAACAGAAAGTCCGAAGCAACAGAGAAAACAGCTGGACTCATTAGCCACACTATGGAAAAAAAGAGAATCCACAAAATAGCCAGAGCAGAAGGCTCACTACATGTTTAATTTTTGGCAAAGAAATAATTTGCAGTTGCAAGCAGTGAAAAATGCAATAAACCTGATCTAGCTCTGGATCATGGTGACTGCTGACACAAAGCATGGGCAAGATACCTTTGCAGCCTGCTCCTCTTGCAGTTGAGGTGCACAGCGAGGAGGTGCTGAGCTTTCAGTGAAGGACAAAATCCTTTCTCAAAATAAGTAGCAGGATAGGGGGAACTGCTGGGTGAGCCTTATGGAAAGGTTATTTTCAGTGTATCAGCACTCTGCTGAATTGCATGTGAATACTTTCATTATAAACAGCTGCTACATACACTTTTTAAAACACCTAAATAGGCAATAACTTGCAGAGAAGGACAAAGAAGAAACTCTTGGGTTGAATAATGGCAAGACCTACAAAAAATCCAAAGGGTTGATTAATAAAATGTATGTACTTAAAGTGACAACTTCAACTAAGTTATCAATATTTTCCTCAAACGCTTTACAGTAAGAAAACCATAACTGTCTCAGATCGAGTTACAAAGCCACAACAGGAGAACATCAAGAAATCCAGAAGGCTGGCCAGAGATGACTCAGACCCAGACAGGCATGGTTTGCCAGGTGGCCACTCATGAACTTCATTCAAACGTATTTTCAGCACAAGAGAAAGACTGAGCACTACAGGGTCGATTACACATGATACGCAAGTACTTCTTATGAAAGTAACCTCCTGTAATCAGCAATAATCTGTATGTAGGACCTGAAAATTTCACAGATTCCTTGGAATAATTAGTTAATTCTTGCTTGTCTAACTCCAAAACATAGCTGTTTCTGGAGCAGAAAAGATAGGAAGACGTACAGGAGGAAATATTTCTTTTCTTTGCTAAATCATCCAGAGTGGAGTATTGCATTACATTTTATACCATATAATGTGCAATGAAATTCCCGTATTACTATAGGGATCCTATTGTTGGAAAACACTCAGACTTTTGAGAAGTTATTTAATCTAGTTGCTGAAATAGATTAAATGGCATTGGTGGCAAAAGCGCTGGTATTTTTTATGGTATTATTAAATATATTCCTGGAAGCTTCACGTTTGTTAATTCATGTCAACTGAACAAGCAAAAATAAAACCCCAAACAACAAACCAAACCAAAAACCTTCAAAAAGAGCTTGAATCTGTGTTTCAAATGAAGACACTTCAGGGAGCACAAGGGTTTAGCGGAGATGTGTCAGTCACATACAGGGTTTTCATACAAATTCTCATTGCTGACAAAACATACTGCACCGCAACTCTTGTTACACAATGAAATGCAAAGTTCAGTTTTTCCCTGGTGCAAAAAGCATGAAAGAAACGGCATTTCAAGTACTTTCCATCCCTGTGGGGAGTAGGAGAATCTTATTTCTATGCGAGTTGAAATCCTGAGGATTTGTTTAACCTCCCCAGACCTTCCCTTCCCACCATGACCCACCTCTCCAGCTCTCAAACCGGAGATGCAATGAGGGATAGCGGAGCAGTTGCTGGCACATGAACTTTGTCCCATTACATCTTTGCTCCTTTTCTTTCCCCCCCCCTAAGAAATAGTGGTTTTTTTGAACCAAATGATATGCTCCTTGGCAAGGCATCTGGACATCCGGCTACAGACCAGGGTTTTCCTAATTACGGAGTGCAGCTGGAACCGATTCTCCCAGTCTCGAGTGCCTGGATGTCTGCCTCGGGCCAACTGGCAGACGGCTCAGATAATGATTCAGAAAAGATGTACTTGTAAATCAGCTTGCTAAAACACAGATAGATCGCAAAGGTGAGGGTGCTGGTGAAAAAGAGTGTACTGTGAAGGTTTGGCATGCGTTGGACAGACCAGTTTGTTGCCAGTTGAGGTTTTGTACAAAATCTGAGACACAGATGAAAAGGGCCCACGGATAATGCTATTTTGCCAGAGTTTCAGGTCTTTCCTAGACACATACAGACTGCCGTGCTGGGGGATGGTGTTAGATGACACCCAGAGTGACACTGGGCAGAGCTGGAATGACTTTAGACCGCTGGCCTTGGCCTCATCTCCAGTTTTCATCATGAAAGTTGCATATTTCACTCATTTACTATTCATATGCTGGCAGATTTCAAACGCGTGTCAGCACTTCTGATCTCTGCTCTGCTCCAAGCCCTGCTTACTCCACACCGATCGGGTCTGTCACCCACCCTGAGCCACCACCATCACCTCAAAGTGAACTCCTCTGGAGGCTCCAGGAATCTCCAGCGCTTCCCTCAAACACC